AAAACTATTGCAGCAAAGAGTTCCTCTGTTTGATGCCAAAAATCAAAGAATATTTAATCCTGAATTCATCAGTGAATTTCCTACCAACACAAAAATTTGCCGTTTGAGGCTAGTCAAACCTTTGAAAGGCCTAAGCTTGCCTTTTCGCCCACTTAACTTTCCTTTGGAAAGATGAAACTTAGTACCTTGTTTCTGCTGCCTTTGTTTTCCCCATGAAAATTAGTAGTTCCCAAGGGTGACCATAGTTTGCAGCAAAAAAATGAAATAAACAGCAACATGATGAAATGAGTAAATGTTACTAATAATGCTATTACTATTATTACTATTACTATCACTATTATTATTATTTTGCTTCTCCTTTTCGTTTTGAAATAAACCTCATTCACCCAAGAACGCCTTTAAGACCCAAACCCTCGCTGACTCTCGTCCCCTCTTCGCATGCAGCTCCCCAGCTAGCTCTCACAAATCAAACGTTTATCCTCCTTCTTGAATTCACCTAATCCTCTCCTGGCAGTATATGCACTAAACTCTTTGCTTTTTTTAAATGGATAACTTTTTCACTCCCTTGGTTCTTGCCTTATTTTAGTGACGCATTCGCAAATTTTGATTTGCTTTGTAACTAAAAGATAAGCATAATTATCACCGCCTTTCATTAACTGCAATATATAACGTTTGATAAACTACATACAAAGGAAAAATGGCAGTCCAATTAAACAGTGATACGCAGACAACCAAAGACCTTACCAATTCTGCGCCACGAACGAGCTTCCTAATCTCAGAGTAGGGGGCTTCTACTTAAATAACGTGCAGAAAAGTATTAACGAAGGCAGGGAGAAAATAATTTTGGGAATTATACATTTCAAGCCTGAAATAATCTAAAGTCAATATGCCCATGAATCAAACTGACCTTATTTGGATGTGACTGTATAGAAAGTGCTTTCTTGACCGAAAGAACTTTGAACAGGAACTGTATCGTCCCTTGTTCGTGAGCCGCCAAAACAGACTTGTTGGATAAGATGAAGTCTTCTAACGACTGCTTCCCTGATTTTAAAAAAGATGGTCCATTTTTGTGAACACCCATCCACAACTGTAAAAGCAGAAGAAAATTATATTGCCCAACCGGTTACTTAAAGTAGATAAACTGTACTACTTTTCAACTGGATATCTCACAGCTGCTAATCCACCTTCCTCGATCAATTCACCTTGCTAATTAACTGATAAAAGTAGAATTCATTTAGAACCAAAGAGAAGCCTTGAAAGTATCCTTCACAAACCTCCGCGTAAGGTTTGGAATCTTCTATTACAAAAGTTGTGTCTGCAAGACTCCTGAACCTCGCCACCAAACTTTTAATACCTGGACATCCCCAGTCATAACACTGAACAGCACAAGTCAGCTTTTCCACTATCATCGCTAGTTTCTGTCTAGAACAATAAACCGACAGGTTTTTTAAGCGACAGCTCTTCTGACTTAAAATGCGATAAAATGTGATCAGCAATACAAAGCATTACCAGCGAACAGTGAGAGAACATTCTACACTTCTCTTATAGTAGACTTTACAACAATGGCGCTGACAACAACTCTCAAAATACAAATTACCCCTCTGTTGAGAAAGCAGTTTCAATACCTCTGAACGAATTCGTTTCCCAAATTGCCTTTTGAAGCATTAACTCAAAGCAAATACCTCTTACTGATACAGTGAATAACATGATTCATCGACTAGAATTGACAAAGATCTTTATCTATTAGTAGCGCCCCACAAAATCATTTTCAGTTCCCTATAGCAACCTAAAGCAACCAGCACTTTTATACTCAAGCAGAAAGCAGT